TTGTTTGTTGTTGTTGTAGTTTTTTTGGGGGGAACTGACCTGTACCACTGGCAGCCTCGAGATGTCAAGGGAGCGAAGCCGGTCATGAAGAAGTGCAGGCGCGGGAAGGGAACCATGTTGACGGCCAGTTTCCTGAGGTCGGCGTTGAGCTGGCCAGGGAACCTCAGGCAGGTGGTGATTCCTGACATGGTGGCGCTGACCAAATGGTTGAGGTCACCGTTGGTGGGCGTGGTCAGGCGCAGCGTGTGGAAGCAGATGTCGTAGAGAGCCTCGTTGTCGATGATATACGTCTCGTCCGTGTTCTCCACCAGCAGGTGGATGGCCAGCGTGCAGTTGTATGGCTCTACCACAGTGTCGGAGACCTGGACCAAGGGATGTGGCGAAAGGTGTTTTTTTGTTTTTTAAAAATAGTTTTAGTAAGAAGGTTTTACGGCGCTCGCAACTGAATAAGGTCATATGAGCGAGCAAAACACGTCAATTTGGTTGCATTCATAACAGTTCACTGCCCGCTTGTCTCGGGTCAACGATCAGATTTTAAAATTTAAACAACTTGAGGTAAAATAACTATCTAAAAATAATAATCGGTTTGAAATCAAAATAATTGTATTTATTATTTTCCATAAAGGCCAACAACCTTTATAAAATAAAGGGTTCTGCTGGGATCAACGACAAAAGACTGATCTTGCAATTTTTTCCTCTATGGCAACTCGGAAACACATGTGTCACTTTTCCCAAAAATCTACGACAGCAACAGAGTTGTTTTAGTTTTAGTAAAAGATTTACGGCACTTGCAAAACAGCAAGGTCATATAAGTGCCGAAGATTAAAAGTGTTACAAGAGAGTAACGAAGGAATAAAGAAGGAGGACAGATAAGGACGAGAGATGTTTGATAGGAAAGAAGGCGAAAACCATACCAGAGCACCCGCCAACCACCCACAAACAGAGTTGAAAGTTGGCAAGGACCTGCAAAAAGATAGACAGGTCCCCATGACGAAGCCAGATTTTGTATTTATTCATTTCCAGAATTTAGACAAATGTATTCGATTAAAAGTTCCCGTCCTTTTCTGGCCTTTGTGATCCACTGAAAAACGAAACAAATCTGCGTAGCTGTCCTTTACAGCGGAGGTGCCGAGAGTGATACTTGGCGTGGCGCATTTGGTTCTGAGAGTACAATGTATAGATCTAGACCTTCTAATTTTTTGCATCTCTCAAGATTTATTGCTCCGTTCCAGTAGAGTGTTATTATAGTAGGCCAATGACGTTCAGTTGGTGTTAATGCACCGATCATTCCTTTCATCGAAAGCTAGTTTAAAATATTTCCTTCGGGTCTCTCGAAAGTCTGAGTTAAATTGTGACTAATGGTAAAATCTGAGTCGCATCCGACACAGAACGGTTTCTCATCTCCCTGAAGGAGGTATATGTGTGTCAGGGAGATGTGCCCGATGCGTAAAGGAGTAAAAAAGAAAAAACTTTCCCACTGCGAGAATTGAACTGATGTACTCTAAGGTATCGAATAAGCGTCCGCA